GAGCGAGCCGCGGGCGGCGCGGTGGGCAGCGGCTGGAAACTTACCCGGGGTCGTGCTGGGAGTCGTTGGCGCTGCCCGAGGTGCCCTGGCTCCCATTTGCCTCCATAGCGGAGCCCCCCCGCCCCCCCCCCCCCGACACACCGAGCCCCACAGCGAGCGGAGCGGCGCGGCGGCCGGCTCCGAGCCCCACAGCTCTCCGCTCCCTCCTCCCCCGCCTCCTCCCCCTCCTCCTCCTCCCCTTCCTCCTCCTCCTCCTCCTCTGCCGCCTCTGTCGCCTCCGCCTCCTCCTCTTCCTCCTCTGCCTCCTCCTCGTTCTCGTGGCCTGCCTAGTCTTGTCTCCTGCACTCTGAGCCTGCACGCGTGCACGACCGCCCTACCCTTCTTCGCCACGGTGACACAAGTCGCCTCCCCTAGGGGGAAGCCTGGTTAACCGACTCCGCCTCCAGTGCCCCGCTTTTCCAGTCACTTCTTTGGACACTGGCACATAGTAGGCACCAGCAGTCCTCACTAACTTCTGGCAGAACGCTGAAGACTGGCGCGTGTGGAGAACTGCAGCGGGGCAAGCTTGGCTTTGGGGGTATTGCTGAGACTGGCTTTCTGAACCCGTCCCCATTTTATCTGCCGCGAAATGGTAGATTTACTTAAAACCACGAAAGTGAGGGTGTCATCTCCCACCCTTCTTAGTCATGACCTACTCCCCCACTTCGTGCCTGGGCTTCCTTTTCCTGCTTCTCTCCCTCCAGCTCAGGTTTGTGTTTTTCTTTCTACCTCCAGCCACACAGCTCAGCGCTGCCTGTCCTCCACCCCACCCCTTTCCCCTCTCTCAGGTCGTGCCTTTTGTGGGAGACTAACAGGAGGAAATGCAGCTTCCCCTGACCTCTTTCCCTCCTCCCTCCCTGGGAGAGAGCAGCTGCTTCCTAACCCACACATGGAAAGGGCATCCAAAAAATGTGAGTGCTATCCAGGAGCAGGGTCCCCTCTTCACAACTGCTTTCCACCTAGCACTGGGTTTGATTTGCTTGGGACAAGGAAATAGGAAAATGACTGCATAGGAATCCACCTCATGTTGCTTTTATATTTATTGAGGACTCACAGTAAGAATACTCAGCAAGACACTATTAGGCATCTTGCCTAGGAAACACTTTCAGATATTGGCAGCCAACTAGGTTCAAAACAAAATATAATCAGGCTATTGCCCTCCAATCCTTTCCAAGTCTAGCTTTTTTCTGACAAAGCTACATACTCTTGTCTAATGCCAAGCTTTGTGCAGCATCTACCATAGGTACTATAGTCTTCCGGTGCTAATTAAGAAAGAACAGCAACAAAGAAAAATTAATTCAGAGGCTCATTTTGTTCTCCTTAGATGTTTCGGTAAATCCTCAGCAACATAACAACGAGATCTCCTGGCAATGGCGTGTAGCATCTGGAGACCTCAATTCCTATTTTCCCAGAAGTAAGAATGAGCCTATAGCACTCCTCAGTTTGCAAAATGACTGTCTTTAATGAGTATAGCTAGGCCAATTCTTTTACCTAAACCACAATTTCCTCTTTTTTTTCTCGTAAATAGCAAAGTGTTATTAGGATTTAGATTCTAACTTATCCCATTTATGCCAGTTACTTGCTGTGTCACCTTGAGCAATTTACACAACCACTTTGTATCTCTGTTTCCTATTTAATAATTGAAAGATAGTATTATTGCCTTCTTCATCTACTTTGTAGGGTTGTGCACATTTAAGTGAGTTGAATTTTACAGAACATTATATAGTATCTTGTGCATACACATTGGTCACTAAATGCTACCTGTTGTTAGATAATATGTGCATTTGCAAGTGAGCTTATGTATATGGGCACACACACACACACACACACACACACACACACACACACACACACACTAATTCAACGTTCTCCTGGACATCTGCATGAACAATCCTACACAACCTTCAAAGCTTGTGGAAAATCATACTCTTCCCAATTCCCTACCCGGTTCCCAGAGTTCCCTCCCCCCTCCAAGAGTCTATAGCATTTTTTGACCACTACTCATTTTATTCTGAAATACATACTGTCTTCCATTCTTCTCTCATTGTGAATCCTGCCTCCCACACTCAGCTTTTTGAAAGCAAGGGAAGGGTCTTAATTTGTTCTAAAAGTCCCCCTCAACACCTAGCATATTAAACAGATAGTAAACATTAAATAAACACCAGGAGACTTGTCCCATAGTTATGTAAAAGGCAAGAAAGAACTGAGCTCAACTGGTGTGCCATTTCAGAAATGAAGAAAACTTCAGACAAATGTCCTGATCATTGCTTTGCTGGGACACAGTCCAGAGTCGTCTTGTCTCCAGACATTAACAAAAGCAAATGAACTTTGCTTTTTAAGGAGAGCTTTGTAACATACAGTAAAAAGGGAAACCTGGTTCAGTTCAGAGACCTTAGTGATAATTTTCCAGGCAAACTGAGGGAACAAGACTAGAAATAGTCTGTACGACACCCGCTGGGTATGTGGTTTCTATGAACTCAGGCTTTTCATCACATCCTTGATTGAATCTGTTTTTAACATTTGTATATGGTACAAAAGTTTGAACTCAGGGCCTTGGGTTTGCTAGGTAGGGGTTCTACTACTTGAGCTACCCCTCCAGCTATTATTTAAATCTTAAGCCAGAAAGCTGATCTGGCTTAGTCATATGAGTCACTTCCCTTGAGGAAACAATGTCCTAAATATTTTTGGTCTAAAGTGCTTTCCCAGTTCTAAGCCTAAGTGACCTCCTGTGGTGTGCTGTGGAGAATGAAAAATCAGAAGTTATTATTTCTATATATTGTGGGTAAGAAGGGCCCAGAAAAGTGAAGCGACCTGCCCAAGATCACACAAATTAATGAGAGAGCCAAAGACCAGAACTTGAAGTTAGAATCTGTGACCCAGTGTTCTTGCAACAGTATCAAGCAAGAGCCAGCACTTTGTCTGTAACTTGGCCATCTAACCTTTACTCCTCCTGCAGATTATTATGTGAATCCACTCCTGTCCTCCTATCCACAATAGACCTTGAAATCAAGCTGGGTGCTGGTGGCTCATGCCTGTAATCCTGACTACTCAGAAGGCTGAGATCTGAGGATCTCATTTCAAAGTCAGCCCTGGTAGTAAACTCCTATGAGACTCTTACCTCCAGTTAACCACCAGAAAACCAGAAGTGGCACTGTGGCTCAAAGTTAGGTAGAGCACTATTAGCCTTAAGCAAAAATGCTCAGAGACAACACTCATGCCTTGAGTTTAAGTCCCATGACCGACAAAAAAAAAAACCTGAAAGTCAGATGCATGTGTGAGTTCCCACAAAGCAAAACACAATGCACAATCCCGATATTATGTGAAGTGTTATCAGTAAAAATAAACTGCATGTGTATGGTGGAAAATGAAGAGGGAGGTCTTTGTCTTAATCTGTCTGCTCACTGTTTCTCCCCCTCCCATTCATTCAACACCAGCATTCATTCCAGACATATTCACAAGCCTCTATTATGTGCCTAAGAACATGGTAGACCCACAAGCAATTCCTGCCCTGGGGGAGCTTAAAATCCAGCTAAGGCATGACTTAGAAACTTATATAACAATACAAAAGGGTATATAACCCCTAGCCAAACAGATGAGACCAGGGGAGTGGAGAAAAATTCATAAGGAGTCCAACACTACACAAAAGTCATCAAAAGTCTTTTGTGATGACAAAGATCAGCATGGCTGGCATCCTCAAAGGAAGGAGGAAGCCTTCTGTGGCACTGGCAGTGCTAAGTCTTTTTCTGGTTGTTGTTACACTGTATACACATATGGAAACACTCAGAGGTACAAACTTTAGAGTTGTGCACCATGCTTTGTAGCAGTCATACATCAATTTTTAAGGAGTTCAGAAAAGAGAAAAATATTCTCCCCAGGAGTTGAAATTATCAGGGCTATTATGGGGAAAGAGCAGCCATTTGAAGATTTAAATAAATGCAATCCAGTAGTTGTTAGCTCTGGCTGCACTTGAACATTCCCTGAGCAGCCTTTTAGAAATACCGTTTAGGGCTAGAGGTATAGCTCAAACTGGTAGAGGGGCTACCTAACAAACATAATGCCCTGAGTTCAAACCCCAATACTACCACCTAAAGAAAAACAATGAGTCTTGGGTTACACACCAGGGCAACACAGTCAGAAATTCTGAAAACAGAGCCTTAAAGTGGGAATAATTTAAGCCAAGATTGAAAAACACTACAGGTTTAGTCAAGATGGTGATCAAACAAGATACAGTATCTCAATTTACTCTCTGACAAAACATCCCTGAGAGGTAGTCACACATATTTTACAGATATTATAGGTATTTTACAGATGAGAAAGATGGAATCTTAGATCATACTTCCTGTGCATGGCAAAGGTGAGATTTCATCTGAGATCTTCTAGCCCCAAACCTAGTGACCTAAACCCATATACAACATGGACTGTCAACAGGCCATATCACCTGGAGACGACAGTAAAACTTTTTTCCTTAATTTCATTGGGGGTAACAAAAACAGGCTTAATACTGATATGACTCTAATTCAATCAAATTATCATTCTTCTCTATACTCCCCATCAGAATTCCCTGCTTAAATCCCAACATAACACAGAATGAA